TGGCAGGCGGCTCTCCCCTGAACCTCAGGCCGCGGGCGGCCCTGGCAGGCGGCTCTCCCCTGAACCTCAGGCCGCGGGCGGCCCTGGCAGGCGGCCACAGGCCCCCGCCGCATCTGGGCACACCAGCCACTCCATCTCATCTGATGGGCACCGCCTGCCACTGGGCACCCAGAACCCCTGCTAGAACTCAGCTCTGCTGCCTGAGTGCCGGGTTCATCTACGGACACCTTTCTCGCTAGGTCCTGAGGCGTGTTCAGCCCAGCCCGGGCCCCGAGCCTTCTGTCCTCTGCCAACTGCTTTTTCTCCTCCGCCAGCAGCAGGGCCATAGCTGGCACGGAGTGAGGAAGGCAGGGAAGGGGCCGTCCTCCCAACCTGGACTGGGAGCTCCAAGTCCTCAGCCACCGCAGACCCTGGTTTTCAGCTCAGTTGCCCCTGCCGAGCCTGCAGCTGGGGGCTGTTCTGGAGCTTGTGTCCCAGTGGGTCCGTGAGCCAGCTCCACTGGAGCACCCGTGCCGCAGCACCGCTGTCCAACACGCCGGGCACACCCGGGCCTGGACAGGCCGCGCCCACACCCCGGCCTGCGAGCTCTCACACCTTCTGGTTGAAGGGCCACCGGAGGAGGGCGTCGTTGGGGCCTTTCATCACCACAAAGAAGAGGGAGAGGTGCGTGCCGCGCCCCGTGCCGTCCCCGTTTAGGTACACTCGCAGACACATCTTGTAGCCATACTTGCTCGTGTAGAAGGCTGGGGACGTGCGAGGGGAGGTAAAGGCCAGGCAGGGTGTGGGGGTCTGCGCGTGAGGAGGCCAGGGAAGGCCTTCCGACGCCTCAGCCTCCACCCCAGAGACACTCCCCAGGCGCACGCACGCGATGCGCACGCGAGGGCTCGCCACACAGACCACCCAAGCGTCTGGAACAGAGGAGGGAGCGGGGAAAGGAGTCTGACCCAGCCCAGCGGCAAGGGCCTGGCGCTGCAGTGAGTGGCCTCTGCACACAGAAGGGAGGGGGCGGGAGGCCCCGGCAGCGGGGGGGGGGGTCCGCAGGCCCCCCGAGGAGCCCGAATGAGAGAAGAGCCCAGGCCGCTGTTGGCAGCAGACGCCAGCTCAGCCTGGAGCACGGCGAGCCAGCTCAGCTCAGCCCCCAGGACCGTAAAGCTGACACCTCGCCGGGCACCAGCTCACGCCTGGCATCCCAGCTACTCAGGAGGCTGAGATCTGAGGATCGTGGTTCAGAGCCAGCCTGGACAGGAAAGTCCGTGAGACTCTTATCTCCAATGAACCACTAGAAAACCAGAAGTGGTGCTGTAGCTCAAGTGGTAGAGCGCTCACCTTGAGCTGAAGAGCTGAGGGACAGCGCCCAGGCCCAGGGTTCAAGCCCCATGACCGACCAAAAAAACCCCAAAAAACAAAAAACCCAAAAATCTGGTATCTAAGAGCAACGGCTGTGCTGGTCCACCCTACCACCCACTCTACTGCCACTCACACACCCCGCTCCTCCCCAAGCCAATGAAGACACTCCGTAACCCAGCCTGCCACCTACCAGTTTCTTGTGTCCAATCCTATCTGCCCGAGAGGTCATACATTACCCAACTCACCTCAGAGAGGCAGATGCTCTGTGCCCGCCATCAGGAAACATGCCCGCCCTGGTCTGGAGCCACCCCATGCGGGCCCTGGGTGGAAAGCATGCTGCAGGCAGGCGGGAAGCTCTCTGGGTACCTGGGGAGAAGATGGCAGGCGTGCGGCCGGCTACGGCTTCCTGGCGCTTCCTGGCGAAGTCGGAGATCTTCCAGATGAAGACCCCGTCATAGGTGGACGCCTCCAACTCCAGGACCTTCTGCTCCAGGTCAGCCATGGCCAAGTCCTTGAGGCCGATGCTCCTCTCCAGCTGCTGGACCTGGGGGCAAGACCACTCTGCTCTTACAGGGTGCTCGTGCCCACCCCACGCTGTGGATCCTGAGCCCACACCCTACTGGCCAGTCTCCAGAGGCTGCCCATTTCCACTGCCTCCTGAGGCGTCCCTGGGTTCAGCCCCCAGGTAAGGTGCGTGCTGCAGGTCCGCATGGACCCTAGGAGACACGGGCCCAGAAGCTGCACTGTGCCAGGTGCACGTCACAGGCCAGCAGGAAGAGGTGTCAGCCCCGGCCCTGGTGACGCCCAGGGGTGTCTTAGAGCACAGGCCTCAGGGACGCAGTGGCCAGAGCCTTCAAGGGCGTGGACACGGCCAGCTTCATCCACGGGTGCGGACCTTGCTGGTCAGGGCTTCAATCTTATCCTGGTCTAGCCGGTGCTGTCGGCTACAGGCCTCCGTGGTCATGGCCACCCTCTCCACTTCCCGGTTTAAGACACAGACGATGTTCTCGAAGGTGGCTATCTTCCGCTCCAGGGCCTGGCACCGCTGCAGCAGCTCTGGCTCGAGCTGGCTGGGGGCCCCCGGGGGCGCCCGGGCCTCCAGCAGTGAGCTGAGCAGCAGCGCCAAGTGCTCCCGCAGCCGCTGTGCCTCGTGTTCCTGCAGGTCCTCAGCCTCCGCCTGCAAACCAACGGCAAGAGCGAGACACTGGTACACGCAGCACAGCGCTGGTACACAGCACAGCACTGACACACAGCACAGCACAGCACTGGTACACAGCACAGCACTGACACGCAGCACAGCACTGACACGCAGCACTGGTACGCAGCACAGCACTGGTACACAGCACATGCTGGCCCAGATGCCGACAGTCCAGGGTCTTATACACCAAGGGACAAGGAGCACCGGGATGCAGGAGCCCGGGGATGCAGGAGCCCGGGGATGCAGGAGCCCAGGGATGCAGGAGCCCGGGGATGCAGGAGCACCAGGCGACAGTGCGGCCTGTTATTCTTCCTGTCTACGTGACAGTGTTCGATCTGCCACTGTCTTTTTAAAAGCCTCCTGTATAACTTCCTTACTTTATAATTTATTTTATTTTTGCTGGTATTTAGGTCTAGGACTCAGTCTAACATCTGAGCCACATCTTCACTTATGGCTTTCTGGTGGTTAACTATAGATAAGAGTCCCACAGGAAGTGGCGCTGTGGCTCAAGTGGTAGAGCATTTGCCTAGAGCTGAAGAGCTAAGGGACAGTGCCCAGGCCCAGAGATCAGGCCCCATGACCAAAAACAAACAAACAAACAAAAAGGCTGGGAAGGTGGCTCAGTGGTACAGTGCTTGCCTTGCATGCATGAAACCCTGGGTTCAATTCCTCAGTACCATATAAGCAGAAAAAAGCTAGAAGTGGCGCTGTGGCTCAAGTGGTAGAGCGCTAGCCTTGAGCTGAAGAGCTGAGGGACAGCGCTCAGGCCCAGAGTTCAGCCCACAAAAAAACAAAACAAAGCAAAACAAAAATCCCCCTCAATCCTCAGCTCTCAGCCCCCTGAGTATCTAGACTCACAGAAAGGCACCAGCAGTCGGCTTAGAGGACCACCTCCGTCTGGGCAGGAGGACAGCATGCAGCTGTTGGGACCGTGATGAGCAACACACAACAGGAAAGAGAGGCCACCCAGCCCACGGAGCCTAGCCAGCCACAGAACTCACAGAGCCACAGAGCCCACCCAGCCACAGAGCCCACAGAGCCAGAGCCCATGGAGCCACAGAGCCACAGAGCCACAGAGCCACAGAGCCCACCCAGCCCCAGAGTCCATGGAGCCCACCCAGCCCCAGAGCCCACCCAGCCCACGGAGCCCCTAACTCACCACCTCGGAGCAGCCTACGGCGTGGAATCTGCAGGGGACGGGGCACTTGCCACATGTCCTGATGTGGTCCTGGAGCTGGCGGGGAAGAAGATGGGCGTGAGGGCGGGCGTCGGCCAGGCCCCTTCCCATGGACCACGTTGGAGTTTACACAAGAGATGCTGGCCTCGTGGAGACGGGCCTCCTCACTCCCAGAGGACAGAACCACCTCCACAGCTTTGACAGACCCGCCGCCCGTGCCGTCGGCAGTGGGGTGGTTAAGCGAGGCGGTAAGGGTGCAGGCGCCAGCTCAGGGTGACAGGGTGTCCGTGCCAACTGAAAGCGTCATCCTGGCACCTCGGTCTCAAGAACGCGGTCAGGCCCCAAAGCCTGGCAGGTTCTCAAGCAACAAGTTCACGGAGAGGGGTCAGCCCAGTAGGAAGCAGGCACCTCCCTGCACCCGGGCAGCCTGGCAGACACACGAGGCTGCAGGGCCAGTGCACACACACAGGCAGCGTCAGCCAGGGAAGCAAGGACAGAACAAGTCCTCAACACTGGCCCTTCTCCCCCAGCCCAGCAGGCCAAGGTCACAAGTGGTCAGGTCCACACTGTGAGGAAGTGAACCATGACTACAGGGCAGCCTCGAGGGGGATGGGCCCACACTCCGGACCCAACGCAGGCATGGTGCACAGGGCCGCCAGCAAAGACACCAGCCACCACTCCAGAGAGAGCACGTGGCCACGCGCCGGTGCACAGGGCACCTGGCACGGACGGCAGCTCGTCCCCAGCAAGGACATGGCCGTCAGGGAGAGCACGGCCTGGACCCGACTCCTGCGACGGGGAGAGGAAAGCCCAGCCCCTCTGCCAACTGCGCAGTGACCCCAACCTGAGCGGAAGCCAGGCAAGGAGGCAGCCCGTGCTGAAGGCTCAGCCTGCTGTCATTTGAGCACAAGCCACCCCCCAGCAGCGTCACCCTGACCCCAATGTCCAGAGCAGTATGGAGCCGCCTGCCCCTTCAGCCCCGGCAGCCCAGGGGCACGCTCTTGCGTGCAGTCCCGCACCGCTCCTCCAGGGGGCGGCACAGGCTCTGTCCAGGCCAGTTCCACAGAACGAAGATGCGTTGCTGCAACACTCTCAGCTCAAGATCAGTAACAATGCGTTTAATTTAACTTTCAGGATGATCACATGTTGAGGTGGAGCTGTTCCTGCGTGCATAAGGCCCTGGGTTTCCACGAGTACGGCCACACTACCAGGCACGTCACGTCTACCCTGCCTGCGGCCCAGCGGCAGGGAACCTCTGCTGCATGCTGCTGCCCTCTGGGCACAAGGTCACAACCCACTCCTACTACGCCCCAGACTCTCCACCACCAGCACGCCCAGCACCCAGTCTTCAGAGACAGGAAGAGCCGCCTTACCTCATCCCGAGGGACCCTCTTCCCGCAACCGTCGCAGGCCAGTGGGAACTCAGGGCAGATGTCACGATGTGCCTAAAAGAGACACTGTCAGAGCACAAGGCAGGGCGCCAGCTGCGGCCCAGGGCAGGGGAGGCAGGGACGCACGGGGCTGACACCCCAGGGCAGCTGGTACACTTGTGGCCCCTGCCAGTGCTCTCTGGAGAACACGGGGTGGCCACCTGCAGGCCCCAGAGCTTCAGACCTGATGGCTTCCTTCCTCATCCACCACAAGATAGAGCCGTTGCAGAAGACTGAAGAAGGGAGTGTCACCACGCTGCCACCCCTGACTGGAACAAGGGGTTCATGTGGAGAGGGACAATGGCTGTGCTAAGCAGGGCAAGACTGCTGACAGCTACCCTAGGCATGCACACAGGCTGCACGGGGCGTGGACACGAGCTCCGGCTGCACCGTGCGCTGTGCAGCGACTGAGCCGTGACAGGCGCTGGTCTGTGCACGTGACGGAGAAGCACCCTGAGGATACCTAGGGGAGTCGGCAAGCCCCAGTGACAGCGCCAGCCCTGGGGAGCATCACAGACTGGGTGACCCCAGAGACACATCAATGAACACAGAGAGGGAGCCTGTCCTCAGCAAATCCCAACGTCACTCTATGAGCAGGAAGGCATAAGCAGACCACAGGAAGCGTAAGACAGGAAGTGATGCACAAGCTGTTACTGTTACTTGTTGCTACGGCTGGGCTTAGTGTCCCTCAAAGGCCCATGTGAGAAAGGCTTAGTCACCCGTGGTGAGGGTCACGGAGTCTTTGGGGGCAGTGCCCGGGGGGTGCTCTAGGTTTCTAGGGGTGGCCCTGAGCGCACCATGGACCTCACTTCCCTCTTCTCTCTCTCGTTCTTCTCAGACATAAGGTGAGCTAACGTGAACTTGTCTCCAGGGCTATCTATCTCGGGTACGTGGTGTAGGAGGTGAGTATCTATCTCGGGTACGTGGTGTAGGAGGTGAGTATCTATCTCAGGTACTTGGTGTAGGAGGTGGGTATCTATCTCAGATGCTTGGTGTAGGAGGTGAGTATCTATCTCAGGTACTTGGTGTAGGAGGTATCTATCTCAGGTGTGTGGTGTAGGAGGTGAGTATCTATCTCAGATGCTTGGTGTAGGAGGTGAGTATCTAATCTATCTCAGGTACTTGGTGTAGGAGGTGAATATCTAATCTATCTCAGGTACTTGGTGTAGGAGGTGAGTATCTATCTCAGATGCGTGGTGTAGGAGGTGAGTATCTATCTCAGGTGCGTGGTGTAGGAGGTGAGTATCTATCTCAGGTACTTGGTGTAGGAGGTATCTATCTCAGGTGCGTGGTGTAGGAGGTGAGTATCTATCTCAGGTACCTGGCGCAGGAGGTGATTATCTCGGGGGCATGGTACAGCAATGGAAAGCTGGGAGTGGTCAGAAGCACTAACTCTGTGCCCTTTAGAAGAGAATAGGTGCTGAGCTGTTCACTCCAGCTGGGGCGTCACAGGACCTTCCTCACTCACCATCTGCACGTGTAAACTTTTTTCTTTTTTTTTGCCAGTCGTGGGGCCTGAACTCTGGGCCTGGGCGCTGTCCCTCAGCTCTTCAGCTCAAGGCGAGCGCTCTACCACGAGCCAAGCACCACTTCCAGCTTTTTCTGCTTATGTGGTGCTGAGGAATCGAACCCAGGGCCTCATGCATGCAAGGCAAGTGCTCTACCACTGAGCCA